AGAGAGAGAGAGAGAGAGAGAGAGAGAGAGAGAGAGAGAGAGAGAGAGAGAGAGAGAGAGAGAGAGAGAGAGAGAGAGAGAGAGAGAGACTGGACACTCCCCTTCTGCACCCTCCTCCCTCTTCCCCCCTCCTGCTTTCTGTAGCAGGCAAAGCTGTGGCAGGAAACCACTTGTGCTTTAAATAGCTCTCTGAAAGAAAAGTTTTCGAACTTTGAATTTTTTTCTCAAAATCTGAGCTCTGAACTCATCTGGCCATTTGGCACCTTGACATCTCACGCCATCACCCTCTTCGGATGGTTGTGCGGATTTTTGGGATCATCATAGACATGGATTATCAAATTGTAAAACCGTGTCGATGACAAGTTGATTGCCTCTTTTTTATGTCGACAGGGAAGTCTTCAAAGTTCAAATTCAGTGTAAATTTTAAACTTTAATTCACCTACTTCACCCACTTTAGCAAAATGTTCGGTTATGTTCGGTCATGTCGTGTTCGTTCTTGCCACTGCCTTGGTTTATCTGAGTCAATCGCTCAGATGCCACTGCCTTGGTTTATTCCACACCCTTGGTTTATTCCACTGCACCCCCGGCGCCAGCCAAGAAAAACGTGCACCGCTGGCGGCTCAGAAAAGCTTGGCGCGCACTGCAGCGTCTCCAAGCCCGGGTGTACTGGTGGTGTAACCTCTCCAATCCAGCGAAGGATGAATCACGCTCGTGCAGCTGCCCAACCAACTGGAGTAGGACTGATGCAGGGGACACAAGAATCTTGGTTGTTCTGTGGAGCACGGGAACACCAACAACATGCACAGCAGCCAAAAGGGAACATGCAGTGTAGGCGCCGAGAAAATCGGGGCAGAGAAAGAGATAGGCTGCTGATCCCTTACCCAGTCCATGTGGCTGAATGGTATACACATGTAACTGTTGACGAACAGATCATGAGCTCGAATCCTGATGTGAATCAGGTGGGTATCATAAGGTTAGGGGCTACCCCCTGTTGAAAAGGCTCTGACCCCCAAATGAGTGATAATGCCGTACATTCCCGGCGATTCACAGCGAGAGGAGTTCGTTGACTGGCCTGGCAAAGTGGAGGCGAGCATGATTGCAGCAAAGTGGAGGCGAGCATGATTGCAGCAAAGTGGAGGCGAGCATGATTGCGGCAATGTGGGTGGAGCATTGGGAATAGGAGAGTCTGTTTGCGAATGAGACCACGGAGGATGTGAGGAGGAATGCAGTCATATACGCGCAAGCACAGAAAGAGAGGAGATGCGGGCTGGCTGAAACAGCAAGGGTTTGAGATGGGTGCCATGAGTGTTGGAGAGATAGAGACAGTGGTGTTGTTTGCACAGGTAGTGAGACTGGGGTCGACTCATTACCAGAGGAGCTGTAAGGGTGACCGCACGGGTATGAGCAGGTGAGTAAACCCCAGGTGTGTCACTGGCAGAGGAAACCCTGTCTGTGCCACTCCCAGAGGAAACCGGAGGGGTATCAGTAGTAGAGAAAACTGCCGCAGAGGTAAAAAAGCCGTCAGCCGAAGCCAGTAATGGGCCCTGGTATCCGAATTGTTTCCTATAGTTTTCAAAAGGGACGCAGGGCCCGGTTCCCAGCACGCGGTGCTCTCCACAAATAAGACTAAAGTCTAAAGCAATGTAAACAAAAATAACTTTAAATAAGTAAATAAATATGTTTATGCAAGGAACATGAATATGGACGAAGCACAGAAATCCAGAATGCAAAATCACACTGAAGTCCAAGTAGTCAAAGCCAAAGCAGATAGCACATGGAACCGAGTAACCATCCAATTGAGAATGATACAGAAGAATCGTGAGTCAATGTCCATGCCCAACAGGGCAACACCAACAGCATAACCCAAATGTAACTCTCTCTTGTGAATGGCGCCAGGCGCCCTATCTACTCTACAGCCTATCCTACAACTACAGCAATGAAAAGCAACCAGACAACTTGACTACCAGCGAGTGATGATGTCAACACCAATGCCGACCTCCACCTTCACCAGGTACGTGTCCTCTTCCCCACACTCTCCCTTGTTACCCACGCAGCGCCCTTCACCTCCGAAGAACCACCTTCGCCCTTCACCTCTTCTGCACCCTCATGCGGCCCGGCTATGGCCGCCAGTGCCCTGCATGCAGGCAGCGCCCTACCGCCTAGTGCTGGCCTGCTTCACCTTAGCGCAGCACACATGCATCCGCGCAGCGTGCCCGCAATGCCAGCATTGGCCAAGATCCCTGCTCCCTCGCCCTGCTTGCCTATATGCCAATGCAGCGTG